GTATTCAGGGAGATATTTATTTTGTTTGTTTTCCCCACTGGATTCCATTTCCTGAGGGTCCTGGGGCTTGTCAACCAACCTGTACTCCAAGTCAGGCTCCGGGAATAGGGGGGGGGGTGGGGATTTATTGGAGCTTTCTCTCTGTCAGATATTTTGGGGCTGATGCTGCCAAAGTGCCTGAGTTAGGTGGGGTTGAATCTGTGGGTAGCAAGTGACAGTTGCTGTTTCTTTTCATAAGCCAGCTGCTGGTTTTATCCTTTTTTAGGGAAGCTGTCTGCAGAGTATTTAGTCTTTCTCCTAATCCTGCTGAAGGGATTGACTTGGTTCTTAGGAACTGGTGGCTGGGGTAAGGCCTCTGATAAAAATCACCATTTCCACTTACTTTCCAGGACTAGAGTTAATAAAAAATTAGCAAAGTTACATTAAAAATGCCTGCAATTTATTTGCCAGTGATTCCTCCTGTAGCAGGAAGTGCCCTGTCCAGTGGTGACATCCCCTGGGAAGTGTTAATGGCTCTGAGTGATTCATCGTGCTGCTTTCTGCTGGGGCTGGGTGTTATCTGACCAGGAGCACACACACTGAAGCTGCTGGACTCGCAAGCAGCTCCTGTTCTCCCCTGCACATCCCATCCCACCTCGGTGGTGATTTATAGACATGGATGGCAGGAGATTGGGAGGACAATGTGCTCCATCCCCTGCAGATGGGTGGCCTGCCTGGTCTCTGTGTTGCTTCTCTAAGGGGTGAAATGCTCAAAAAAAGCTGTATTTTTGATCCTCTGTTTTTGGGGCATCTCAGGGCATCTCCTGTGTGTCTGTTCCTCTGCCTCTTCCCTCCTTGGAGGTGATGCAAAGCACCTCTGTCACCTGCTCCTCTGAAATAAATCCACTGAAAGGCCACCAGGGCAGGAGGAGGGCAAGGTGGGGATAATCCTGAGGGAGCAGGGTTGGCTTTTCTCCACTCCAGTCCTCTGCACTGAGAGCTCTGGGGCTAAACCTGAAGGATTTCCAAGGCATTTTCTTTGGTCAGGGCTTCAAGAAGAGGATTCTTTATCTGCCAGCTGAACCAGTGCACAGCAACCCTGAGCTCCCAGGTCCTGAAAGGAATGGAGTGCTAATTATTTATGTTACCAGAACACTCAGGAAAGGAACTTACCCTTCATTCTTTGCTTTCTTTTAGACCCAAAGGAATCAGCTGCTTTTATAATTTATTCCAGGCTTTGCTGGAATCCAAGTTATCAAGCATTTATCACACATCTGTCCCTGGGAAGGGGTGTCAGTCAGAGCTTGTTAGTGGGGGAGAGGCAGAGAAAGCAGCGTTTAACCAAGGGATGGATTTAAAAAGCAACATTTAACCCAGTTATGGAGAAAGAGGAATGAGGTGCTGAGCACCCAGGGCTGGCAGGATTGTGGCCAGGTCCTCCCCAGCAGCACTCGAGCAGGGAAGGTTTGGTGTTGAGCCACCCTGCTCATCAAAAAGGCAAATTACACGGAGGAACTCATTTAATGAGGTTTTGTTGCACTTAGACTTGAAGTATCAAAGGCATCATATCAGATCCCATTGTTTCTGTACAAGCCATTAAGAGACAGAAAGGGCTGCAGATCAAGCCATTTATTCTTTGTGAGGTTATCACCTAAAATCTTCTGGTTTAGCACTTTTTTTTAACCTTCTCCAGCTGATTTCCTCTCCCAGCACCGTCTCACCCATCACCTCTGCTTTGTTCTCAGCTCTGGGCTGCTCAGCCAGGGAAGTCTGAGCAGGATTGTTGGGATGTGCTTGTCAGCTGGCTCCTTTGATCTCCCTATTTCTCTTTTTTTTAATGATAATTTCCCTCTTGTTCTGACCTAACTCCCAGTGGCTGCTGGCAGCTTTCAGCTGGAGCAGGGGAAAAAGCAAAGCAGAAAGGTGGCACTTTGGCAAATGCCATGAAGTTAATTAAGGTCTTTCCCTCACTGGGACACTTTTCCAGGCATGTCTGGGAGCAGTTTAAGGGACTGGACTGGTGAGCAGCAATAAATTAGCTTTGATTTCGTAGGGAAAAAAAGGCACCCTCTCTGTCCTGGCACAGCTTCTGAGCTACTTTGTTGTGCTCCAGCTGCTGCTGGTGGGGCCTTTGGCAGAGCCCAAGGGCTGCTGGGGCAGGTGCTGACACTGCAACACTTCTAAAGGCTTCAGGGCCTTCTCTGCCCCAGTTCCACTGCTGGGATGGACTGGATGGAGCCACAGAGCTGAGGGGGTGAGCACAGAGTGGGACAAGGCTGCAGCATCCAGCCCTCCCTGCCCTGCCAGCTCGAGCAGGACCACGCTGGGTGCCCACCTGGGCTTTCTCAGCACCTCCATCATTACCTGCAAGATCCAAACGTGGATGTTCGGACCCAGAGCTGCCTCCTCATCCTCTCAATCTCCTGTTTCTGCTGGAGTGAATCCAGAGGAGGCCACGGAGACGCTTCCAGGGCTGGAGCCCCTCTGCTCTGGAGCCAGGCTGGGAGAGCTGTGGGGGTTCACCTGGAGAAGAGAAGGATCCAGGGAGACCTGAGAGCCCCTTGCAGGGCCTAAAGGGGCTCCAGGAGAGCTGGAGAGGGACTGGGGACAAGGGATGGAGGGACAGGACAAGGGGAAATGGCTTCCCACTGCCAGAGGGCAGGGTTAGATGGGATATTGGGAAGGAATTCCTCCCTGTGAGGGTAGGCAGGCCCTGGCACAGGTTGCCCAGAGAAGCTGTGGCTGCCCCATCCCTGGAAGTGTCCAAGGCCAGGTTGGACGGGGCTTGGAGCAACCTGGGCTGGTGGAAGGTGTCCCTGCCCTGTTCCTGCACTGACAGCTGGAACAAGATGGACTTCAAAGTCCCTTCCAACCCAAACCGTTCTGGGATTCTGTGACTTCTGCACCAGAGGTGACTTTGTTTAGCACACAGCTCTGTTTTTCTTTTCCTTCTCCAGGCAAAATCTGGCCAGGGTGCCCTGTGTAGGGTGGCTGGGGGCTGACAGCGCCAGTGATGTGAGAATTAATGACTCTTTAGGGCTTTTTGGTGACAGCACAAATCCGTCAACATCCGAGGTGGATGTTGAAGATTATCTTTTGACTTGCAGTGGTTACGGGTTTACAGGTGAGCAATTAAGCTGTGAGGATGAAGGGAAGGGAGAAGAGGAATGAAATCGTTGGCATGGGTGCAGAAGATGGAATTAGAAGTCTCTGCATGTGATGGTTCTTAGTTTAAATTATCTCCTGTTGCTTATGCTCAAACTGCATCCACGGGGCTGATGTAATGGGAATTTTAAGGTCGTGAAAATGTGGGAACAGGTGTCCTATAGCATAGCTACTCAGCTCCTCAGGTCCTGGCTGGCTTTTGCCTCTTGCCATCCAACATCTCAGCGTGTTTTTTTCCTGATCTCCAGCACCTCCTGCTGAGGGAGTCTGGCCCTTTCCGCCCAGCAATGCTGAGCCTGCTCTTCCCTGGCCCTGGTTTGGCAGCAGGGCTAAGTCAGTCAGTAAGTCAAGGACAGGGATTTCATCTCCCCACACAGCCACATCCCCCTCCTCTGAGTTTGCAGCATCCTGTGTAGCACAGAGCAGAATTAGCCATCTTATTTTGAATAACTCTGCTTTTTCTTGTAATTTTTTTTTTTTTTAGTGGTAGCTGGTCAGTGCTGAATGTCCAGCAGCCTGAAATTAGGAAAAAGAGCTCATGGGCTGGAGCAGACAAATCCTGGTGCACCCTGTGGGTGTTCTGAGCATCTCTGTGCCCCAGCACGGGGCACTTGCTGTGCCTGGGAGCTGAATATCCCTTGGGATTCACTGCCTGAGCCTGGCACCTCCTTCCAGCCCTTCCCATGGCTTCTGGCAGTGTTGAAATCCCACTTTTCAGCCGGGTTTGGGAGTCCCTGTCGCTGCTGTGACTCTCAGGGAGGGGTTGGCTGATGATGGTCAAGGGTGGGTCCACCCGGGCAGCACCTTCAGCAAGGGCTGGGTACAAAGGGCTGGCATTTGACACCAGGTGGCTGGGGGCTTCCTTGGTGGACTGGATGCTCACCCACCTTCACCTTGGCCGAACAACCTGGGGGCAGAGACAGCAAAATAAAGGCAATTGCTCCTGGTGGCTGTAAATGGTGCAGCGGGCGGGGAGCTGGTGGGAGGGTTTGGTTGGCTTGTGTTAGAGAATTGTTTAAGTTGGAAAAGACCTGCAAGATCATCAAGTCCAGCCTTTAGGGGTGTGCTGCCTTCAATTAAGAATATTTTTGGTGAAGCATCATAGGAGGTGCTGCACTACTGAGTGGAGGTGGCTTTGCCGGTGGGGCAGGGTGTCCTTTACAGAGCCTTTGCTTAAGGAGTTGCCATCACTGTGGCTTGTGGACAATATTTCTTCCTTTGCTACACCCTCAAACAGTGGAGGCATCTCCTTTTGGAGAGTCATTCCGGTTTGGGGGCTGTATTTCCCACCAGGATTTCACATCAGAGTTCATACACTGTATTTCACATCAGACTCGCACCCTGCTCTCTGAATATTCTCCTCAAAGAAGATGCTCTGAACAAAGGCTGATTTTGCGCACAGAGAGTAAACTACAACTAGAAACTGCTTCAGGTATTGGGGAAACACCAGACAGCAGTACTTGAGGGATTTCTGAATTTTATTACCGGGAGAAACTCTGGCAGATGATTTCTGGTGTAGCTGAGGGGTTTAGTTCCCTCTCTCTGTTTCCTCCTGGGAAACGGTGCAGTGTTTTCCTGTATCACAGCTCTTTAGTGACCAGATGATGTGTCGATGGCTGCATAAGCAGGCGGAGATTGGGGATTTTTCGATAGTCTCAGCAAGGCTCAGCAGCCCCAGGGGGAGGGTGTGAGCTGATGGGTTTCAATGCACACCATTTACGACGTGACCGCAGGTGTAAAGTTTAAAGCATCTCGACTATTTGCTGGTTTTACACGGCACTAATCCACGCTTTGGAAGGAGGAATTTCCATTTGAATCTCAGTTTATCCCCTCTCTCCCTGTTTTTTTTTTTTTAGGATTCTGGCGACTGCTGGCACTGACTTTGACCTGAGGACCCTGCGAGCCGTGCGAGTGCTGCGACCCCTAAAACTCGTGTCGGGAATCCCGAGTGAGTGTCAGGACGGTGTCACCTCCCAGCCTGAGGGGTTCTGCGGCTTTTGGGCTCTTACATGCTTTTCTGAGCAACATTTTCTCCCCTTATTTCTTGGCTGTCTGTGGTTTCTACCCTTGCCAGGGTCTGACTTTCTCTCCCCCCACTCTGTGCTCAGCCAGCTGCTTTTAGCTCTGCCCTCCAAAATTTGCAGGTGAGGGGCAGGGATTGGTCCTGAGACCCCTTTGCCTTTGGGGGTCAATTAATTCCCTGTGGTGTGAACACCTGAGACCCAAATCCTGCAGCTTTCAGGCCCCCAGCCCCGAGCTTTGGGTGTTCTGATGGTTTTGATCAGATCTTGTGCTGAGGATTTTACCCTTTAAATAAAGGGGGAGAAAACGCAGGGAAAGAGCAGGACTTGGCTTTTTCTACTCAGCGGGCAACTTCCTATATTTTATGTGTTACCTGAAGGGTGAATGCTCCAGTGAGGAGCTGCATCATTCCTTGCTGATGCCCTGGAACCATCCCAGTCCTCACACCGTGGCTCCCTTGCCTTTTTATTTGTCCCTGTCTCCTCTGCCTGCTGCAGTCAGCAGTGGGTTTAATTTTTGACCGTGGAACAGTGAGGTTTGACCCTCCAGCAAGAGCTGGTGAAAGGGAACTGCAGCTCTGTGGGAAGCTCTGGTTTTTGTCTGCATTAACCCCTCGGCAGCCAGTCAGCCCCATCTCCTCCCGGGTCATCAGCTCTGCCACCTCTCTGGTTGCTTCAGGGCTGAGACTTCGGTGCTGCAGACACCCAGCAAGAGGCGATGCTCTGCAATTATTGCACCAAAACTTCCTGCCATCAGCATTTTTCATGGGCAGGGCTTCAGTCTGAATTCCCACACAGGAGAGGTCCTTGGGAAGGGTGACATTTGTTAACAGGATCTCTAATAAGATGTTGCTGTTGGCTGTTTATTCACGGACTTCTTGCCTGGGCAGGGTGTGGTAGTGACAGTCTAAGGGTGACAGAGGGAAAAGGTGACCCCTCAGAGCTGCCCCTTCCCAGGAGGACTCGTTCTCCCACCTGGTGATGTGTCCTGATCAAGCACAATATTTTCCCACAATATTTCCTCTCAGGTTTTTAGGGATGCTGTGAAAACTGTGCCTTTCCCCCCCACCCTGCAGGAGATACACAGCCCTGAGGTGCAATCACACACAACCACGGTTACACTTGCCTTCTACACCCTCAGTATTTTTCCCATCCAACATTCCTTTTTTTCCCCTGCACGTCCCCATATTGACCTCACCAGTGCTGTCCAAGGTGGCAAGACAAAGATGATCCTTTTTTTTCCCACCCCTTACAACAGGCCACCAAGGCAGCTGCTGCTTATCACTGCAGTTTTTTTTTTTCCGTTGTGGGCATCTTTTTGACATTATCTCTCCAGCCTCTCCCTTATCTCCCCTGGTTTTAATTGAAAATGAGTTTCAGTGCTGGTGAAAAAGCTCTGGATGGACAGCCCTGGAGACAGGGATTGTTTCTCCAGGAGCAGCACCGTGGCTGTCCTGTGTGTTGTGGAGGCAGAGGCAGCTCCTGGCCAGCCCAGCATTCCTGGGACAGGGGAGCAGAGCCGTGCCCAGCCTGCCCTGAGGACTTGCTTCAGCTCCACGCTGAGTGGCTGGTTCAGGAAAAACCCTTTTTGGGTCTCTGAGGCTTAACAGCCCTTTGGATCTGTCCCCTGAAGAAAAGACATCACAAAAAGATGTTTCCTGATCATCTCTCCTGCTCTTTGGGCTCCTCATGGCCGGGTCATCATTTTTGTGACACCCTGGGAGGAGCAGCACTGGTGGCACTGCCAATCCTAAATTCCCCCTCGGTCAGCCCCTCTCTCCTGCCTCCCCTCCACCCCCAAGCCCTTGTTTGTTGTTTTTTTTCCCCTTCCCATCCCTGCTGACATGTTTTCCTTGTCCCCACAGGCCTGCAGGTTGTGCTCAAGTCCATCATGAAGGCGATGGTGCCCCTGCTGCAGATCGGGCTGCTCCTCTTCTTCGCCATCGTCATGTTTGCCATCATCGGGCTGGAGTTTTACATGGGCAAGTTCCACAAAACCTGCTTCTCCAACGAGACAGGTGAGTTTTGGGCTTCCCTCCCCTCTCAAGTGGATCATCAGCTCCGTTCATCTCCTCAGGATCTTCCTATCCTGCTCTTATGTTGCTTTTCCTTTACCCTTTTCCATGTTGGCTGCATTTTTTCCCTCTTTAACACCAGCTCCAGGAGTTAACAGAATTTTGTGCTCATCCTGCATTCATTGGGACAGCCTCTCCTCTCTGTTTCACCCCCACAGCACCCCTGGGCTGCTCTCTGTCTACACAAAAATGAGAAGAAGGTGCTTAGGGCCTCCTCTCATGGAAGAATTTTTTCATAGTGGAGATACAGAACTAAATTCCTGTTGTTTCAGCTTGTTGAAATGTGGAGGTTTTGGGTTCTGTCTTATTATTTTTTTTCTTATTTATTGGTGTCTGTTCACATTCTCATTGGGTTTAACTCACTGAATGTTGAATTTCCTTGGAAGGTTTTTGAGGAATTTGCATGGGTATGAGAAGACTTTGGTGGGCAATAGTAAAAGACTGGAAAGACTGGAAGCAAATGAAAAATAAAGGGACAGTAGATGGAATACAAGGAGTCCTTTGATGGAGAAAGGATAAAAATGACTTTCAGAGAAGGGCAAGGGAAATTGGGCACTGAAGAGTAAATGATGTGTCTGCCTGTGATGGAGTGATAAACCCCAGAAGATGGAGGAGGAGAAGAATGATTCCCAAAATCCCTTGACTGGGACCAGCTGCCAGGTCAAATCATGGAATGGTTTGGGTTGGAAGGCACCTTAAAGATCATCCAGTTCCCACCCCCTGCCATGGGCAGGGACACCTTCCACTAGCCCAGGTTGCTCCAAGCCCCGTCCAACCTGGCCTTGGACAATTCCAGGGATGGGGCAGCCACAGCTTCTCTGGGCAACTGGGTTGAACTCAGAAGAAAATATTGTTCTTATCTTCAAACTATTCCATTTTAAAGCAAAATCGACTTTCTTTATCGCAGTCTTTTATTTTCAGTAATTACCACTGTTAGGTCTTAATATTGATTTATTTACATGCATTCAAATGGTAATAAAACAACATCCCTGCCAAGTCTCTGGGCACCCTTCACAGAGCTTTCTAACAGCAACATGGAAACAGTTGAATACACTTGGTTTACACAGAGCTTTGGATGAGCTTATGGTCCTGTGGAACGTTTGGAAAACATTCCATAGGGACATAAGGAAGAATTTCCACTGCTCGTGCAAAGCTCTGTGTAAACTGGAG